TCCCGTCTGTGTCAGGGGTGACAGCACCCCCCAATGCCACACGTGTGGGTACAGCCCCAACACCCCCTGATGTCCCCTTGCCCTCCGAACCTCCCCCCATGTCCCTGTCCCCGTGTCCTTGTGCCAGGGGTGACAGGAACCCACAATGTCACAGCCCCAACATCCCCTGATGTCCCTTTGCCCTCCCAAACCACCCTGTGCCCCTGTCCCCGTGCCAGGGGTGACAGCACTCCTCAATGTCACARGTGTGGGCACGGCCCCAACACCCCCCGATGTCCCCTCCCAGTGTCACAGGCGGTGGCAGATGGCAGCAGCAGGGGGGAGGTGGCACCGGCAGCCACCCCTGGCACCGTCCCCGGTCCCCGCGGTGTCACCAAGGTGGCACTGCCAGCTTTGTCCCGCTGGCACGGGAAAACCCGGGGCTGTCCCCTCTCCTGTCATTTGCACCAATTTTTTATTTTATTTTATTTTTTGGGGGGGACAATTTAACCCTTTCAGCGCCACTCAGGCTCCGGGGTTAACCCTTCCTTTCCTGAATCGCGGGAACGCCGGCGAAAAGCGGGAAAAAAACGCAAAAAAAAAAAAAAAATTAAAAAAAAATTAAGCCTGCGCGAAAAGGAGATTTGCGCTGCCCCCACCGCGCACTGAGAACGGATATTTTTAATCTTTTAAATATTTCCCGGAGCCGGGGTAAATCCTTTCTTCTCCGAGCTCCCGCACGCAGCCGGGACTGGGAGTTACTGGGGACACTGGGATTGGGCAGAGCTCCAGCCACATCCCTGCCTCGGGTTGGGAAATTTGGAAAAATACCGGGGGAGAGGTTAAAATGTGAATTTGTAAGTGTCAATTTTAGGTGTCATTTAAATGTGTCCTTTTTTTGTGCCTTTTTTAGGTGTCATTTTAAATCAGATTTTTTTAGGGTGTCATTTTTTTGGGTGTCATTTTTCTGTTCATTTTTTTAGGTGTCATTTTAGGTGTCATTTTTTAGTGTATTTTTTTAGGGTGTCATTTTTCAGTCGTATTTTTTAGGGTGTCATTTTTGGATGTCATTTTTCAGGTTTTTTTTTGGGGGGGTGTCATTTTTAGGTTCATTTTTTATATATTTTTTAGACATCATTTTTAGTCTTTTTTTTCGGGTATCATTTTTGGGTATCATTTTTTAGGTTTACTTTGGGGAAGGTGTCATTTTTAGGTTCATTTTTTTAGGTGTCTTTTTAGGTGTCATTTTTAGCTGCCATTTTTATCTGCCATTTTTTAGCCACCATTTTCCGCCGCCATTATTTTGGGTGCCATTTTTTAGCCGCCATTTTTTAGGTATTTTTTTGGGGATGTCATTTTTAGGTGCCACTTCTAGGTGTCATTTTTTGCCACCATTTTTAACCACCATTTTTTTAGCTGCCATTTTTTAGGTAGCTGCCATTTTTTAGGTGCCATTTTTAAGGTATTTTTTGGGGTGGCATTTTTAACCTCCATTTTTTTGGGTGCCATTTTTTAGGTGCCATTTTTTAGGTATTTTTTTGGGGATGTCATTTTTAGGTGCCACTTCTAGGTGTCATTTTTTGCCACCATTTTTAACCGCCATTTTTTTAGCTGCCATTTTTTAGGTACTTTTTGGGGTGCCATTTTTCACCGCCATTTTCAACGTCCATTTTTTTTTGGGTGATTATTTTGGGTGCCATTTTTTAGCCGCCATTTTTTAGGTATTTTTTTGGGGATGTCATTTTTAGGTGCCACTTCTAGGTGTCATTTTTTGCCACCATTTTTAACCACCATTTTTTTAGCTGCCATTTTTTAGGTACTTTTTGGGGTGCCATTTTTCACCGCCTTTTTTTTTTGGGTGCCATTTTTAGCCACCATTTTTTTTTCTGTGCCTTTTTCACCACCACTTTTCTCTGCCATTTTTCACCGCCATTTTTCCACCGCAATTTTTTTTGGGTGCCATTTTTAGCTGCCATTTTTTTCCTGTGCCTTTTTCACCACCACTTTTCTCTGCCATTTTTCACCGCCATTTTTCAATCTGCGCTTTTCATCCTCCTCCACCTCACACGGCCACCCCAAAACCCCCTCTCCGCCCTCCACACCATCCTCTCACCCGTCTGGTTGAGCTGCAGGGTGCTCTTACTCCACTGCGACAACCCCACGATCGCCACCATCTTGGCGCCCAGGCTGGAGCGCCGTTTCTTGCTGGCGGTGACGGCGACGGAGTCAGCGCTCCCGCGCGCGCTCTTCTCCAGGCCGAACATCTCTCCGCTGATGCTGGAGCTGCGCACCACGCTCCGCGCCGACGACGAGCCAGCATCGCCGTCGAACATGGTGGGCGCGCCCGCCGGCACCGGCGCCGGCTCTGCTGCCCCCGGGGATCAGCTGCGGGGACAAGGCGGGGACACGTTGGGGATGGTGGCAGCGATGAGGGGGTGACAGCGGTTGTGTCACCCCCGTGATGTCCGCAGCGCCCTCAAGATATTTGGGAATCTGGGGTACAACCTACAGGGTTTGGGATATTAGGAAAAGGGTTTTGGGCATGAATGGGTTCCTTAGGGAATGGGCAGCACCCAAGAGTGCCAGAGATCTGGGAGTGCTCGGACAGCGCTGCCAGGGTGGGATTTTGGGGGTCTGTGCATGGCCAGGGGTTGGGATGGATGATCCCGGTGCATTCCGGGGTGTTCCCCACCCACGGGAGCAGCGGTTGGTGCGGGAAGGGTCAGGACCCCCGGGGTGAGCACCCAGCCCTGCCCTGGCTCCCCGTGGGGTGTGAGCACTCGCAGCAGCCAGGAGAGTGGGATGGGCATCACCAGGGTATCGTTGGTGCCACCACAGCACCCTCGGTATCACCACAGCATCCTGGGTATCACCAGGGCATCCTGGGTACCAACATGGCATGCTGGGTACCATCACAGCATTCCTGGGTTCCACCACAGCATCCCAGGGTACTCCCACAGCATCCTCGGTATCACCACAGCATCCTCAGTACTACCCCATCATCTGGGTACCACCACAGCATCCCTGGCACCATCACAGCATCCCAGCTGCCTCCACAACATCCTTGGTGCCACCACAGTAACCCTGGCACTCATAAAACCATCGGTGTAGGATGAGCCCCATTCCAGTGGGATGGGGTCCCTGGGATAAAGGCTTTGGTGTGAGATGAATTCCAGCTCCAGGGGATGGAGCCCTTTGGATAAATATGTGGGTATGGGGTGAGCCCCGCTCTGGAAGGATGGATCCCCTCGGATAATGCCTTCAGTGTGGGGTGGGCCCTGTTCCAGTGGGATGAACCCTTTGGATAAAGCCATCGGCACAGGACACGTCCCAGTCTGGAGGGATGGAGCCCCTGGGATAAAGCCTTTGAGGTGGGATGAGCCCCATTCCAGTGGGATGAATCCCTCTGGATAAAGCCATCAGCACAGGACACGTCCCAGTCTGGAGGGATGGAGCCTCTGGGATAAAGCCTTTGAGGTGGGATGAGCACTCTTCCAGAGGGATGAAACCCCCGGGATAAAGCCATCGGAGTGGGACTGAGCCCCACTGTGGAAAGATGGAGCCCCTCAGATAAAGCCTTTGAGGTGGAATTGAGCCCCATTCCAGAGGGATGAATCCCCCGGGATAAAGCCATCGGCACGGGATGTGTCCCATCTGCRGAGCTGCCCCGSCACAGCCCCGTTCCGAGGGCAGCAGAGCCGGGAGGGAGCGGCCCCAGCTCCTGCCCCGCTCGAGGAGGGCTCAGAGCTGCCTCGCTGCCCTGGGGACACTCGGGGTGACCCTTTCCAGCTCCTCCCGCCCTTCCCCGGGCTCCAAACCCGCTCCAATCCCAAAGTTTTCCCTCCACAGGGAACAGACCCCAATCACGCCATCCGCGCCTCAGTTTCCCCACGGGCAAACCTGAACAAACACAAMCCCGAGGGCTCAGCCAGGCCCGGCCCAGACCCCTCCAGGAAGAGAAACCCCCGGGAACGACCCAACCCCGCTGTCCTGAGGGTCAGGAAAACACGAACGGCTCCGGAGAGCGCCGGGCTCTGCCGGGAGCAAATGAGATCAGGAGAGCAGAGCGCTAATGGGATCATTGCCAATGCAACACACGCGGGGATAATCCTCCGCAAAGGCAGCGGAGCGCGGCTCCTCGGCCCGCGGGGAGGGTTTGCATCCCCCTGCCCGTGATTTCAGCCCTCGTCTCCTCACACAGTCGGT